GGGATGCAGGAGGAAGGGTGGGGGGGGTCGTTGCAGCAAGGGGGTGGCTGGCACCAGCTCGGGCACAGGCCCCTGCACCCACAGTGGCACCCAGAAAGGGGGGAGACGGGGGCCCTGCTGCTCACCCACCAGTTTTGCTCTTGACGTCCAGGGCCAGCGCGATGCCCTCGTCGATGAAAGCCACGACCTTCTGGAAATCCTCCTCGTGGAAGTGGCGGGATGTGAGCGCAGGGGCACCTGGGGACAGAGACCGTGAGGGGCAGCGTCTGCACTGGGCCAATCCCAACAAGGGGCTCCCTCAATCCCGGCCCCTCTCTGAGCCGGGAACTGGCTCCAAAGTCCCATGTGGGTGAAGCAAAGGGGGGGATCCCCCCCAAGGGAAGGAGCTGGACGGATGGAGGCAGGGCCCATCCCTCACCCAGGCGCAGCCCTCCTGGCGTGAGCGCGCTCTTGTCCCCCGGGCACGTGTTCTTGTTGGCAGTGATGGAGACGAGCTCCAGGACGCGCTCTGCCCGCGCGCCGTCGATGCCCTTGGGCCGCAGGTCCACCAGCACCAAGTGGTTGTCGGTGCCGCCTGGGGAGCGAGGGAAAGGGGTGAGGAGGGACCGACTGGTTCACTGCCACATCCCAACCTCAGCCCTGCTCCTAGAACACCCCCTGTTTGCCCCCGCAACCCGTCCACGCTCCCCACTGCTGCCCAGGGGCACTGAAGCCAAGCGATGCTGCAGCCTCATCCCTCCTTCTCCCCAGAGGTGCGGGGAAGGAGGCAGTACCTGACACCAGGGTGTACCCGCGCTGCAGCAGGGCCTGTGCCATGGCTTTGGCGTTCTTCAGCACTTGCTGGCAGTAGTGGCGGAAGGCTGGCGAGCTGGCCTGCACGGGGGAACCGCATCAGTGCGGGGCCGGCTCATCCCCAGCCACCACCACCCCGGCACGGACCTGTTTGAGGGCCACGGCCACCGCGGCGATGGCGTGGTTGTGTGGTCCCCCTTGGAGGGAGGGGAAGACAGCGAAGTTGATCCTGTCCTCCAGGTCGTAGAGCATCTCCTTGCCTGTCTTCTTATCCACCGAGCGCACGCCCTTGCGGTAGAAGATGAGTCCTGACCTGGGGGTGATTAAGAGCTGGGACCGCTCCTCCTGCCACCACCCCGTGGAGGCACCAACACCGCTACCGCCCTCCCGCAGGCCCCTCCTGTTCCCTCCAGAGCGTGAAACGCAGCCTCTGCATCACAGCACGGGCAGCATCCTCCCGGGGGATGCAGGACACGGCCTCACCTGGCGCCGCGCAGGGTCTTGTGTGTGGTGCTGGTGACCACGTCCGCGTGCTCGAAGGGCGAAGGGATGGCCTTGGCTGCCACCAGCCCGCTGATGTGAGCCATGTCCGCCAGCAGGTACGCCTTCACCTCCTCGCATACCTGCAGATGCAGGCACACGGAGCCATGGGTCATCCCTGGCCCCCACTGACCGCAGCATCCCCCAGGATGGATGCGACGCCGCCGGGTACCTTCTTCATGCGAGCGTAGTCGATGAGGCGGGCGTAGGCGCTGGTGCCGGCGATGATGAGGCGAGGACGGAAGAGGCGAGCTGTCACCTCCAGCTGATCATAGTCAATGAGCCCCGTGGCTGGCTGTAAGGGACAGACAGACAGACAGCTTGCCAAGGCCCCTGCCCCTTCCTGCCCCCAGCGGAACCCCAGGCAGCTCCCAGGCACCAGGATGTGGTTGGCATAGAGGGAGGGAAGGAAGGGCAGGGGATGGCAGAGCAGCTCGGGCACCTCAGAGGCATCACCAACAGCTTGGCCAGCAGATTCCCCCTTCACCCCAGCACCTTCCCCCCCCTCAGCTCACATTGAGTTTGTAGGGCATCGACTCGAAGAAGATGGATGTTGCTGAGATTCTCTTGACGTCCGACATGTACCCGTGCGTGAGGCTGCAGGGGAAGGCAGGAGTGCAGGATCAGGCAGGGTACCCCCCATTCCCTGCAGGCAGCAGGCTCCCGGCTGCCCCCCACCACCACGTACTGGCCCCCATCAGGCAGGTCCAGCCCCATGAGGCGGTCGTGGGGCTGCAGCAGGGCTGTGTAGGCTGCGAAGTTGGCCGGGGACCCCGAGTAGGGCTGAACGTTGACGCCCCAGCGCGCAGGATCCAGGTCGAACGCCTCCAGCGCGCGCTGCTCGCACAGGAGCTCGATCTGGTCCACAACCTCGGCTCCCCCGTAGTACCTGGGGAAGGGAGGGGGTGACAGTGAGCGGTGGTGATGGATGGGGTTCTCCCCTCCTGCCCTGTAGGTGACAGCCTCCTCTTGGAAGCGCCCTCTATGGCCCCAGGGCTCCCCTTAACCTTTCCTGCAGCTGCATCCTGGCTGCAGGAGGGTCCCTGAACCCCCAGAACCTGCTCCCCCTCTTTACCTCTTGCCAGGGTACCCCTCTGAGTACTTGTTGTTGAGGCAGGAGCCCAGGGCTTCCAGTGCTGCCCGGCTGCAGAAGTTCTGGGTCGGGGGGGGGGAGAAAGGGGTCAGAGATGGGGCAGTGAAGCTCCCACCCGAGCAGGGCCCCCCCCAGCGCTGTGAGCATCCCCTGCCCCAAGCAGCCCGTACCCCACCTCAGAGGCGATGAGCTCCAGCCCCCGGCACTGCCGATCCTTCTCCTTCTGCACCAGGGCCCACATCTCGGGGTCGCTCTCGGCCAGGCTCTCCTGCCCCGTCCAGGCGGGCACGTGCCCCGTGGCAGCGGCCGCGGCGGTGCCATGCTGTGCCCGCTGGCTGCAGGTACCCCCCCAGCCACCACATCGCTGCAGGGCCTGCACGGGAGAGGGGAAGCTGACACCCTGTGACACCACACAGGCCCCTCTGTACCCCCTAAAGTGCCCCTGGACCAGTGGGTGGCAGTGCTTGAAGCAAGACCCCAGTGTCCTGCCTCCAGCTGTGGTATGCACTTGGGGACCCCCCCCCCCAACAAGGGGCAGGAGCATCTCGGAAGGTGCCGAAGCAGCCACAACGTCCATGAGTGCACAGCATGTGCGCAGCACTGCACACGCGTGTGCATGGCTGTGTGTGCATGTGCATGCAGGGGTGGGATGACCAGACCCCCGGTCACAACACAGGGACCCCGTTGTTGTGCACTGGGGTCCCCCCCTCAGCCCAGGGTCCCGAAGAGGAGCTCTTACTGATGCAGGGTCCGGGGTGATGTAACTGCTGCTGCCCCATTGCATCACCCGCGGTCACCGAGCAGGGGCCAGGGCCGGTGCCTGTCCCCGACCCGGGGACTTTGGGCCGGACACAAAGTCCGCGGGGGCCGAGCTGGGCCGGGGTGGGGGGCACTGCCCAGCCTGGGGGGGGGTGTGGGGGGGGTGTGTGCAGGAGCGGGCGCCGCTGCCCCGACACCCACCGGATGGGCGCTGCGCCCACAAAGGGGCGCTGGGACGGGAGAAACGGGTGTGCAGGGAGCGACCCCCTCCTGGACCTCTCCCCGTGGGTATCCGAACCCCCCCCCGTGCACCGCGACCGCTTGCGAGCACCGGAACACCCCGGGTACCGCGGCTCCCCGCGGGCACCGGCATTGCCTGCGCATCCGGACTCCACAAGGCACCGGTACCCTGCGGGCACCGGGGTACCCCGGCCATCGGTACCCCCGTGCACCCCCCCCCAGCCAAAGGGTACCCCCCCGGTCCCAGACTCACCCTGCCCAGGCGGAGCGGCCACATGGCGGCCGCGGTCCAGGCGGATCCCGGCCGGGTCCCGCTCCCGGTCCCAGTCGCGCTCCCGGTCGCTGCCCGGTGCCGCCCCACCGGGCTCCGCGAGCGCTGCCGGGGCGGAGCCAAAGGGGCTGCCGGCGCCGCGGGGCCCGACGGGAAACGGGAGCTTCCCCCCCTGCCGGGGGTACCCTCATCCCTGACCCCTGCATCCCATCCCTGACCCCCGCGTCCCATCCCTGACCCCCGCATCCCATCCCTGACCCCCGCGTCCCATCCCTGACCCCCGCATCCCATCCCTGACCCCCGCATCCCATCCCTGACCCCCGTATCGCATCCCTGACCCCGCCATCCCTGACCCCCGCATCCCATCCCTGACCCCCGCGTCCCATCCCTGACCCCCGCATCGCATCCCTGAGCTCCGCATCCCATCCCTGAGCTCCGCATCCCATCCCTGACCCCGCCATCCCTGACCCCCGCATCCCATCCCTGACCCCCGCGTCCCATCCCTGACCCCCGCATCCCATCCCTGACCCCCGCATCGCATCCCTGAGCTCCGCATCCCATCCCTGACCCCCGCATCGCATCCCTGATCTCCGCGTCCCATTCCTGACCCCGCCATCCCTGACCCCCGCATCCCATTCCTGACCTCCGCATCCCATCCCTGACCCCCGCATCCCATCCCTGACCCCGCCATCCCTGAGCTCTACATCCCATCCCTGACCCCCGCATCCCATCCCTGACCCCGCCATCCCTGACCCCCGCATCCCATCCCTGACCCCCTCATCCCATCCCTGAGCCCCGCACCCCATCCCTGACCACACACACCATCCTTGACACACTCACCCCCCCATCCCTCCTTCCTCTTCCCGCATCGCGCCGGTGTGGGCTCAACACACTCCAACACTTTTCCTTTTTTTTTTTTTTTCCCCAATGTTTTTCTTTATTTTCTGCTTTTTTTTTTCATTTTAATTTTCTTAAAAAAATATGAGGAAGTCCCTGCCCAGAGCTGGGGGGGAGCAGCCCCCAGCAAGGGCCCTGGGCCCCCAGGCACCAGCCATGGTACTCCTTCACTGCAGGTGGGAGACAGGCAGCAGCCTGGGGGGGGGGGCAAATTTGAGGGGGGCTTGCACCAGCACTGTGACCCCAAATCCCCCCTGCTACAACTGTGCCTGCTCCGGGGGTGACACGCACCCAGCTGATGCCATTGCACGGGGCTGTACCCCCCGACCAGCCCGCACGCTCCCAGGGACCCCATCCCAGTGCATGGGAGCATGGCACACAGCGGGCATTAGGGCCAGCACCCAGCGAGGAAGGGGAGGTCGGTGCGGCAGCAATGGGGGGCACTGTGCAGCCAGGGACGGGGTCCAGGAGCCCCTGGTCCCCCTCTGACTCCATCTCTGATGCCCACTGCCCCTTCCCGCAGCCATCAGCCAAAGTAGGGGTTGTCGTGCTGGAAGTTGTAGTCGGGGCAGACCTTCTGGACCAGCTTGTAATCGATGCTGAGGAAGGAGATGAAGATGCAGATGACTTTGAAGGGCTTAGCGCAGAGCCAGGCGGCGTGGCTCTGCGTGTGCTCGGTGAAGCACACCTTAGACGGGTCGTACAGGCAGGGCTTGTTCTTCCGCGCCCGGTTCGTCTTCTCATACTCCACGTGGCAATTGAGGGCTTTGGCCGGGCGCCCCTCGGGCAGGGTGCTCTGCTGAGGGGCTGGGAGGGAAAGCGGCGCTGGGGCCGGCACCAGCACCTCAAACCCCACCGCCTTGGAAGGGGGCACGATGCTGACCGAGACGTTGCCCAGGCTGGAGGAGTTGTGTCGGAAATAGACGCTGAAGGTGCCGTTGATGTGGTCAACGATCTTGCCCGTCACCAACAGGCTGAACTTGAGCGTCTTGATGTTGAAGTAGAAGTCGCCCCATCCAAAGATCTTCTTGGTGCGGCCGGACTTGAGCGAGGGCTTGCGCCGGGCGCGGGGGTTCAGCAGCTCCCCCGTTGTCTGGTTCTTCTGCCAGTCCCAGGGGCTCCCTGCGCCCCGGGGGGGCTCAGCTGGAACCAGCCGCCCAGGGTCGAGCACCGGAGGCTTCAGGGTGCCATAGGGAACATCCTTGAGGAGGCCGGAGGTGCCCAGCTCCAGGTACCCCAGGGTCTTGGCAATGTGGCCCCCAGCACACACCGCCTGGGGAGAGAGCAGAGACTGGGGGAGCTGTGCCTGCTGCATCCCCCTGCCCGCATCCCCCTTCCCGCATCCCCCTCCTGCAGCCCTTCTGTGGCCATGCACCCCCCAGCACCATGCACCCCTCTGGCACCGCATCCTCCGTTGGTGCCGTGCCACTGGTGTAAGCATGGCTGCATCCTGCCCGTGCCATCCCCATGCCAGGAGCTGGGGCTGCTTCTCCAGCACCAACCACATCCCTTTGCCAGAGGAAGCAGGATGCCGGCCAGTCCATGACCGCCTGCCCCACAAGTGATGCCTGTTAAGACGCAGGGCATCAGCATGCCCGGATATGGGAAGACACCAGAGCCCCGCGCTGCCTGCCAGTAAAGCCTAATTGCATTAGGCAGCACCTCTGATGTGCAGCTGAAACGCCAGACCCCTGCCAGGCTGCATGGCAGCCACTCCGCCCCCCAGGATAATTGCATCGGGCAGACACGGCTGGAGAATGGGGTGCATTGTGTGCATTGTGAGCGTTGTGTGCCGGGGAGGAGGGCACGCAAGGAATGAGCGGGGACCCCTCGTTCTGCATTCAGCAGAATTGGCAGCAAAAGCATAAATGATGGGCAGCAGAGGGAAAACCTCCCGGGGGCTGCAAGGAGCCTGTACCAGCACAGCCCCTCGCCCAGCAGAGCCAGGAGTCTGGGGCAAGGGGTCCCCCAGGGTGGAAAGAAGCAGCCCCATTCCTGGTGAGGTGAATCAAGGCAGGGAGCTGTGATAGAAGACCTGGTCCCTTCAACCTGGGTGGGCTGTGAGCCCCCTTAGGGAGGTGCTGATGGGCACGGGCACCCCAAGGCAGCTCCGGTCGAGAAAAGGACCCCAGCATCAGTGGGGATGGGACACAGCATCCCCTTCCTGAGAGTCCCCACGGCTGCAGCTCTGCATGTCTGGCTGCGGGCACTGACACCACAAGGTGAGCGGAGCCAGCAGCACCTCTCCCACCCTGAGACCCCATCTCGGACTTGTCCCACGTCCCCACCTCGGGAAGCTGCTCCCCCTCCCCGCTTCCCCATCCCTCAGCTCGGCTGCTGCTGGCTCTGCACCGCGGTGCCCGGCGTGGCCCTGCCTGCCCTGCCAGCTGCTCTGGTGCGCAGGATGCTGCTCCGTCAGCCCCGGCCTCGTCAATCACTGTCACCGGCGAGCTGCCCGGTGCTCCGGCAGTTCCTGCTCCGGACGACCTGCATCCCAAGGGGGGTGTGGGGAGGAGGGGAGCGAGCAGAGGAAGCCCGGGGGGTGGGGTGGGGGGAACTGAAGCACTCCTCAGCGCTCAACACGATCCCGGGGGCTGCAGGAGGTGCTGGAGGCACTGGGGACCCATCCTGGCACCAGCCGCCCTGCAGCAACCCCATAATGGCTCCATGCTGCTTCCCATGAGCCCCATCAGAGAGGGGAGAGCCCCCATGGACCCCTCCTCAGGCCGGGCAGGGGCTGCTCTCACCGGGGCACGCAGTAGGGATGGAGCAGCACCGGGCAGGGCTGCCGCGGACACCGGCTCCGCGCTGTCCCCGTTCCTCTCCAGTTGCTAAGCTGGACCCCCAGGCCAGGCTGCGCTGCTGTCTCCAGGATCTATCGCCTTATCCCCATAAACGCTGCCTGTGCTGGGCTGAGCCCGTAAGTCTGCTCCAGCCCCTGCTCGCCCTCGTCCGCGCCACCTGGGCTCGGGCCCGTCTGTGCGCAGGGGAGAAGGCTCTGGGGGTCTCGGGAAGGGCGCTATGGGGGGCTCTGTGCAGTGTGAGGCTGAGCATTCCCGCAGCCCCCGCTCGGGCCTGACGTCCCCCGACTCCCTCCCCAATCTCGCTTTGAGCGCGGCTGCTGCCTTTGCCCTTATCTATATTTCAACGCAGCTTCAAAGCCGGGTGCCCTCACCAGCCAGCGAGAGAGGGAGCGAGCGTGGCAGGACCGGGAGATGCAGAGATAACCAGGGGAGGGGAAGAAGGGGCTGCCCCCAGCATCCCCCCTCCAGGCAGGAGAGCAGCGTTTTGTGGGGGGACGGTGGCCCCGGGGGGACTGCGCTCTCCCTCCACCCCACTCCTAGGTACTCATCAGCCCAGGAGCCCCCCGCATCCCTCGTGGGGCTTCCCACCTCAGCCAGGGCTGACAGCCAGGACAAGCAGCTCCCCCAGCAGTGCTACACGAGCCGCCGTGGTCCCCTGCCTCAGTTTTCCTTTCTCTTTCATCCACGATCCCCCGGTAATGATGTGGACAGGGATGCGATAGGAACGGGGCTGTGATGGGGAACTGATGGAGACAGAGATGCAGTAGGGGTGGGGAAGGGGCAGGGACAGGCTGTGAGGAGGAGATGGGTACGAACTATGGGGAGGTGCTGACGGCAGCTTCCTCCATCACTTGAGGGCCATGGGCTTGGGCAGGTGGTTGAGACCAGATGGGCTGTGGGGCACAGACTGGGCATGGGCGGGGAAAGAGCTGCCCCTAGCCCCTCTGGGTGAGAGGCCAGGCTGGAAGCTCCCCCCCACACACACACCGGGAGCTGCTGTGGAGCAAGGGATGAAAGGGAATTGCAGAGCAGGGCAGCAACTACCAATGCAGCCCTGTCTATCGATCAACGGGCAGCATGGGGAGCGTGCGGGAGACCCTCAGCACCCGCCCCCCAGGAGGACGGGGTGCCCCGAGCCCTGTGGGCAAAGGGCAACACAGAGCAGGGTCACGTCAAGCCTCTTCCATGACAGCGCTGAGGGGAGCCAAGGTCATCCCCTGCACCCTGCCAGCGCTGTTGGCATTCAGGGCAGGTCCCACTCACACCTCGCGTTAAATATTAATGCTCCTGCTTGCGAGCGCTCGGGGTGCAGCGCGCACACGTGCACAGGGACCTCTCGGAGTGTCCGCGGGCGTCCCGGGGCTCCTGGCTCCGCATGGACGTGCACAGAGACCCCCTCCCTTCCTGTGGCTGCACCGGGATCTATCCCGGGTCACGCCGAGCTCTGCCCCATGCGCCGTTCCTGTGTGTTTGTCGCACATGCACAGGCTGCTGCATCCATGCATCACCCCGTGACAGTGATCGCTTTGGGGGTCTCGAGCCCCTTGTGCGCTTCCCATGGGGCTGCCGTGTGGCGCTCCACGTGTGCACAAGCAAGGATGCAGGAAGGGCTGGGGGGGGCTGCAGAGGGACTCGGTGCCGGCATCAATTTGGCTTGTCAGGACCGGCGGTGATGGCCACTCACATCCCATTTGCTGGCGGGGCCAGGCGCCGTCAGCCGCTCCCCCGAGACCCACGGTCACCTTGGTGGAGGGAGGGGAGCACATCAGCGCCGATGAGGGGCTCCCAGCACCCCGACAACAGTCCCACGACCTCAAGGCAAACCAGCCCCTGCCTGTGCCAGGAGCAGAGCACCCACGACGGCACTAAAGACCCCATCCCCTGCACCCCGCTTCCCCCCCACCACAGCGGGGGTCACTGTCAGAGCTGCTGCTGGGGGTCTCCCCATAGGTCAAGCTGGCCTCTCCGCTGTCATCCCGCTGCCTTCGTTAGCGCGAGGAGATTAATTGGAGGTGCTGAGCCACAACCCCCCTGGGCCCGCTCCCCCCCCCGGTGCGGTGCAGCCCGGGGCGGCGTGGCATTTCCAAAGGTTAGCAGCAAACAAGGTGCCTCTGACAGCTCCCATTTATCTCGCCGGCGCGGCGCGGGTGCTAATGCGGTGGCAGGGGGACGAGGTGCAGCGGTAGGCTCTGCGGGAGGGCCCCGAGCGCATGGGTGCTGAAGGGGTGCAATGGTGGTGGGTGGGAGGGCACCAAGATCACCCAGCGGCTGCAGCGGGTGTGTAAATGCATGCAACAAATGCCTGCAGCTGAATGTGCACAAACGGCTCCACGTGTGTGCACACACAGGGCTGGGCAGGGCGTGCATGGAGCAAGGTGGCTCTGCCTGTGTGCCACCACTGCAGGGGAGCCTGTGGCCTTCCTCAGTGTGATGGAACCCCCGGGCTGAACACGCTCCTGGGTGCACACGCAAGAGCAATGCAAGTGCTGGTGGTGCCAACGTTGGTGCCAGGGCAATGATGCCACTGGGCACATCTGGGCCAGGTCCAGGGTGCTGGTGGAGCTGGGAGGAGGCAGGGACCAGAAGCACAAGGCGAGACCCAGCCTCCCCAGGATGCTGCTGCTCTGCCACGGGCTGCAGGGCAGGATGAGGGTAGCAGGAGGGGCAGGAATGGGGCGCAGGATGGGGTAGGGACAAAGGGAAGAGCCCCTCATCTCAGCCTCACAAGGACAGGAGGAGAAACCCCCCCCCCGCCTCCCAGCTCAAAGACACTTGAAAGCCCTTCCCTGGCTCCCAGCTCTGACCAAGTGGGTCACCGATGGGGCAAGTTGGGGGGCACCCATTCACGGGCACCCTGTTGCACAGCCGGACAAATCCTGCCTTGGAGCTGAGCTCAGCGTGACCACACAAAGACCTCCTTGGTCCTTCCTCTGCCTCTTCCATACCGCAACCACACAGCCAAAACCTTCAGCACCAGCCCCAGAGACCCCAGCATCCCATTGGCATTTCGGAGAGAGCCTGGATGAGCTCCCCAAAGCCAACCCCACCATCACGGGCTGCCAGCGCCCAACCTGCACACGCAGCGGGGTCCTTGCTCCCAAAGCAAGGCTCACCCAAGGGCTGGGGAGGCAGGAGCCAGGGGGAACTGGTTTCCCATGGATGCGATTGCCTTCACCCCCTGAACAGACACCTCGCTTCTCGCAGACGGAGAGAATATGCAAATGCTGGGGCTTTATTAACGGGCTCGGCACGCGCTGGCTAATAAATATTTCATAGCCCGAGTAGGACTTTTTTTTTCTCCCCCCCCCACCCCCTCCCCTTCCTTCTTCCTTTCGTTTTGGCTCCTTTTCCCTGTCACTCGTTTCCTGCCTTTTCTTTTCTCAGCCGTTGTTTTATTTATTTATTACTTTTAAGGGCTTCATGGTGAGACAGGAGCTGGGAGGTGGCTGACGGTGCGGGGGGGGGGAAGCAGGAAAGCATCCCCGGTCTCTCCCCCCACGGGTGAAAGAGAAAAGTGCTGTTAAGAGCAAAGGAAAAAATATAATAGAAGGAGGAGACAGCACCAGGCAAAGGATTGAGGGCTTGTGTGACTCATTGGACTCAAGGAAGAAAAGAGAAGGAATGGGAAAATGAGGAGATAAACGGAGCGGGAAGGGGGAGAGGGGTGCGCAGGCGGGTGTGCAGGAGAGATGAGGGGGCGCAGGGGTGGATGGAGGGATGGGGACGCGCTTGCTGATGGGCTCCGGGGGGGGGTATTGAATCCTGCTCACCCCATGCCAGGGGTCCCTGATGCCATCCAGAGCTTGGCTTGACCACTGGGACCTGGCACTGCGTGAGGGGGGGGCAGCTCCATGGATGGCATGCGGGGAAACAGGGGCAGAGCTGGCAGGGATGAGCCTCGGGTAGCTCCTGATCCAACCAGGACACAGCGGTCCCACTCCTCATCCCTTGGCCTCAGTTTCCCCACAGCACAGCAGGCTGCCCCATCTTCCTCCGAGCCCCCCCTCCAAACCAAAGGGACCGCAGCCCTTACCTCCACCCCCCCACCCCCCCCCATCGCCTCCCCATTTCACTTTATTATTGCAATAAATGTGGCCATAAAAGTGGCAGGTATCGGTGCGCACCGAGATCGCTTCTCCCGAGCTATGGAAATGTAATTTCGAGTGTGCCCGGGAAATTTTATAAGATCGTATCAGGTGGGATCATAAATTGCATTTCCAGCCCTTCCTCCCCCCCCCCCCCCCCCCCCCGCACCACACATTGTGCGTGTCCCCCCCCTCCACCGACGACACAAGGTCACAATGGAAAGGGGCAAACACTCTGTTCCTATGCACCCCCCACCCCACCCCATTCCCAGAGCCAGCTATTTATTCTCCCCATGAGGAGAAGGGGGAGCAGTGGCAGGGATACGGCTCTGTGTGTGTGTCCCCTCAAGCAAGAGGTTGGTCCAAGCCCTCCAAGAGACCCTAAGGATGCAGGAGACCCTCAAGGGCATCACGGGGGATGTAGCTACCAGGATGTGCCGCATGGCAGCTGAGTGCTGGCTCCCATTAGGAGCTCAGCACAAGGGGTCCCTGCTAAGCCCCCTGGGAACCTCCAGGGCCAGATTCAGTCCCACTTTGCCCAGGTTCCAGGCTGGGCGGTGTAAAGCATCACCAAGGAACCCCGGATGGAGGCTTCAGTGCTGGGGGGACAGGAGGAGGAATGAGAGGGTCCAAGGCCACCGCTGTGTCTGGATGGGGTCTGTGCCACAGTGCGCAGTGGTCACAACGGGGTCTGGCAGGGCTTTATTTGAGGAGGGGAAAATGAACCCCAGTGCATGGCGCCACGGGGGCTCTCGCAGCCGATCTTTCCTGCAGGCCAGGCTCCTGCTCCCACAATGACTTTTCCTTTTGCAACAGCGATCAGGGAAGGAAAAGAGAAAAGGCAGGGAGGGGGGAACACGGGCAAAGGGACGTGATTATTTCTTTAGTAGCAATCCAAGCGGCTGGAGAGGAAGCTTCATCTTTCCTGGGCCATTTACCTTCAGCGCCCGAGCGCGAAGCCTGAGCCAGGCAGCTCTTCATTGATGCTGGAGCTTGGCCAGGGCAGGCAGAGGGGGGGAATATAGGGGCTTCTGTATGCAGCATCACCCCCCTATTGGGGCTTTAAGAAGGAGGAGCTGTGATTGGAGGGGTGGGGGGCAAAAGTCATTAATCTGGGGGTGTTAATTGGCATAGGTGTGATGAGCAAAGGGGCTGAATGGGTGTAGCTGGCGCAGAGGGACAAAGCTCAGGCCACCCCCTCCACCACACACACACCTCCCGGCTGTAAACCGGCAATTAAAAACAAGAAGGGGGGAGAGGAAAGCAATAAAGCAGCGATGGACTGCAGCCAGAACAGCACAGTGGAGGAGCAGGAGCGGGTCTGGCCGGGGGGCACCCCTGGGTGCCCCCCCCCGTCCCCAGCCAGCGCTCCCCCCTCGGTGGGAGGCTGAGCCGCGCCACGCTCCAGGCTCCATCCTTATTGAATCTCCCAGCTCAGGGTGCAAAGGGCACCACAGGGAAGAGTTATTAAAAAAAGGGAAATGAGTCGCCTGGAAACCTTCTTTCGGAATAACAGAGTGTGTTTGTTTGGCGATAGATTAGCTCAGCCATGCTGAGCACACAGCACCCGCCGCAGCCGCGGTCAGCTCCGGAGAGCCGCAGCAACCGGGAGAAGGGGGATGCGGCTCCCCCAGCCCGGGCATCATCCTGGACCCTGCGGCGCTGCACCCGGCCAGACCCAAACCCCATTTACCCTCCCCTGGCCACAGATGGGGTTCTCTGAGCCATGAAACTGTTCCGTCCGACCCTGTTAATGGGAGCAGGGAGGGTGAATTAGGGGTGTCCTTGCACCGAAAGGGCTGGCAGCATCTGCTTAAGAGCAAAGCCATCTGTCAGCCAACAACCCAGTCGACGTGTGACAGCGCCTGGGTGACAGCAAGGGAAAGGGAATGAAGTGGGGTGAGTTTCCCGGTGGCTCACATCCCGCATCCCGCACCACCAGCATCCCGCATCCCGCACCACCAGCATCCCGCACCACCAGCATCCCGCCGGCATGGCCACAGGCACCTTCAAAGCAGAATTTCCCTGGAAAAGGTTAATCCAGGAAGGAAAACCTGCCAGCAACACTCCAGGTGCTTCACAGACACCCGTTATCTCACCTCCCTGCCTTGAAGGAGGGAAACCGAGGCACGGTGCCGGTGATGGGAAGGCACATTGCTGCCGAGGTACAGGGAAGGTACCCAGTGTCCCAGCTCCAGCCCCACCACATCCCACTCTGCTTCTGGGCAGCCTGGCTGCACTCTCCCACTCCTGCCTGCTCCAGGGCCTTGGTAGCCTAACCCCCTCTGGCTCCTGTTCAGCATCATGTCCATCACTTGGGCAGCAGGGACCACGGGGCCAAGGCTGGCATCTGCCTCCCGGCCAAGGCCAGGAGGTTGCTGGCCGGGAATTGCCTTTCCTCTCTGCTAAATTAACACCCCTTCGAGGTGGTAAAAGCACCTTGGAGCTACCGCCTGCCCCTGCCCTGCTGTGGCTCTCTCCTGGGTGCACCCTGGGGTGGCTCAGCCCAGGGGAAAGGCAGAGCTCTGGGGGACCCCCAGGGTTTAACACTCAGCGAGCAGAGAACAATCTAAAGCACCAACAGGAAGGCTGAGGCAGGGCAAGCACCCACGGGCAGCATCGCTGCCACCCCGAGCTCAGGCGTGGGGAAGGAGAAAGCAAATCCCGGGGTCAGCAGCAGCCATGAGGGGTGGGGGGCCGAGGGGGGGGGTGAGTGCACACACATAGACAGCAGCAGGAGCTCTCTAAACCCACCCTGCTACCCGCCGTGCAGCCACGTCTGCCTTTTTGCCCCATTGCTCCCATCACTGGGGAGCTCCGGTGCAGTGATTGGGGTTGGGGGCAGCCGCTGGGGTCCCCCTGGGAAAGTTTCTCCCCAAGAGGACCAAGTGGGGCAGGAGCTGCCCCATTTCCCTTCCCCAGCCCCATGCCACCAGGCTCATGAAGGGGCTCGGGTTCGCTGCACCCCCAACAGCATCACCCGCGGTCATTCCCCATGCTCGTGCGCTGGCCCCCACTGCAAGCCCCCATATCGTGTGCAGGTGGGGATTGGATTGGGGGGGGGGGGGGTGGCAGGGCAGCGCCCAGCCCCCGATTCCATCAAAACAAACCCATTCATCTTGAAGCAGCTCCAGCACCGACAGACACTCTGCATTAGATGGACATGGGAAGGAGGGGGGGGTCACGCAGAGCACCCCCACTCCCATCTATCCATCCATGGACACCCAGAGAGGAACCAGTGCCAGAGAAATAAGTTGCAGGAGCCTTTGCCTGGGGGGTGGGATTGTGCTGGGGGTGGGGGGGGTGGGGGGGTGTCCCTGATGTGCATCCAATTCCGAAGAGGGAATTGGCTCGTTTGATTTTATTCATGGAATACCGAAAGTAAAAATGGAGTGTCAGGAAATCAGATCTGCTGGGCTGGGGGGGGGCATGAATCCCACCCCCTGCTCATGACCACCACAGGGATAAATGGAGCCCCCAAACCCAGGCTCCAAGAGGAGATGGCGGGGGGGGGTGTGTGAGAGTGGCCTTGGGAAGCATCGAGTACCCGGGGCCACTACCGAGGGGCACCCCCGAGGGGAGGGGAGGGGGGGGGCCCGGAGCTTTGGGAGGGGGCCCCCCTCAAAGGAGGACGAAGGCCACGGCAGCGCCGGAGCTGAGCCCGCACCCCATCACGACAGGAATGAGGCGTCACCTCTGCAGGTGGTTCCAGCGCTCCCGACCTCGGGGTACCGCCCCCCCCCAAGCGACCCCCCCCCCATCCTCCGACACAGTGGAGGGGGGGGTCTCACCCCGACACAACGGGGGGGGGTTGTGGGGTTCTTGTGTCCCCCCCACCCCCCCCCCTGCTTGCCCACGCGCGGTCGCCCCCGCTTCGTCTCGCGCGTCTCGTTGCCCCCCCCCCCCCCCCCCCCCCGCACCTGCCAGACGGCGCCTCCCGCGCTCCGCACCGGGTGGAGGGGGGGGGGGGGGGGGGCTCGGTGCTGCACTAACGACGGGACCCCCCCCGGGTCAGCTCTGCGCCCTTTGCAACTTGGGGGGAGCAGGACCCCCCCCCCATAACTCCCCCATTCACCTCCCTGCACCCCCCCCCCCAAATCTCTGCTATCTCCGTGGCTGCCGGAGCCCCCCCCTAAACCGCACGTCTCCCCAGCATCCTCTCTCCACGTCCCGCTCGCTCACAGCGCGGATTCTACCCCCACCCCTCCCCGTTACGGTGCAACCCCCCCCCCCATCCCGGTAATCGCACCCGGGATGCCGCGGTCCGTGTGTCCCCCCCCCCCCGGTAGCAGCAACTTTGTCGGGGGTGCGCGCCCGGTGCCCCGGTACCTGCAGCAGGAGCCAGGGCCCGAGCAGGGGCAGGCGGCGGCGGAGCATCGCGGGGCTCCCGGGGCTCCCGGGCTGGACGGAGCGCGCAGGGCGGGCGGAGGCGGGAGGCGGCGGCCAGGGGGAGGCAGGAAGAAAGTTGGAGACTTGCTGGGGCCGGGCGGTGCCTCCGCCGAGCCCCGCCAATCCCGGCCCGCGGGGGGGGGCACCGGGCCCCTGCGCTGCACCCCCCGGAGCGGCTGCGACGGGAGGGGCCGGACACCGTGATGCGCTGGTCCTACCCCCCCCCCCCCATCCCCGCTTCTGGGAGACCCCCACATCCCGCGATGCGCTGGTCCTACCCCCCCCCTCCCATGCCCGCTTCTGGGAGACCCCCGCATCCCGCGATGCGCTGGTCCTACCCCCCCCTCCCCATCCCCGCATCCCGCGATGCGCTGGTCCTACCTCCCCCCCCCCCCCCCATCCCCGCATCCCGCGATGCCCTGGTCCTACCCCCCCTCCCCATCCCCGCATCCCGCGATGCGCTGGTCCTGTCTTCTTCTTTTGGGAAACGCCCGCACCCATGGATAAAGCCGGGATTGCCCCCTTGCTTTTGGGAGACCCCCGCACCCATGGATAAAGCCGGGGCTGCCCCCCCACCCCCATGAGACCCCAGCACCCTGCAATACCCCTGGTCTTGCCCCCCACTTTTAGGTGATGCCAGCACCCCACCAGTTCTGCACTGGGGCAGTCGGTCCTCCCTGACCTGGGGAGGGGGCTCCCCCATTGCTGGGTCCCCCCTTAAAGACTCCAGCAGAGAAGGGGGAGCATCCTCCAGGAAAGGGTCTGGGGGGCAGCCTTGCACCCCTCACAGTGTGAACACACACATACACATGCACACATACACATGCACACATATACATACACACATACACATGCACACATACACATACATACATGCACATACACATACATACATGCACATACACATACATACAGACACACATACATATACACATATACATACACACATATACATGCATGCACACATACACATACACACATATACATACACACACATACACACATACACATACACACATATAACACACATATACATACACATACACATACACATATACATACACACATATAATACACACATATACATACACACATATACATACACACATATACATACACACATATAATACACACATACACACATATAATACACACATACACACACATACACACATATACATACACACATATAATACACACATACACACACATACACACATATAACACACACATATGCATACACATACACATACACATACACACATATACATACACACATATAACACACACATATACATATACATACACATACACATACACACATATACATACACATATATAACACACACATATACATATACATACACATACACATACACACATATACATACACACATATAACACACACATATACATATACATACACATACACATACACACATATACATACACACATATAACACACACATATACATACACACAGCATCCCAGGCTGGCCATGCAAACTGCATGGACCCACACGTGTGCTCATCGCTCCAGCCCTCGGAGGGGGTGTGAGGTGTTCATATCCCCCCCCCCCAGCAGCATCCCTCCCCAGAACTTGCACTGTAGTGTTATCACTATTATCACTGTTATCCCTATTATTTTCCACCCTCTGCGGTGTCGGCAGGGCTGGGGGGCAAGCGGGGGGGGGTCATTGCAGAGCCGCACGGATGTGTGGAGACAGAATGAATAAAGGTAAAGGAGAAATAAGGGGAAGGGAGGGAAATGGAGAAGGGAGAGGAAGGAAGGGGACAGGAGCTGGAAGATGTGAGTCCTCGCATGGCCTGGCCCCAGCCAGCCCCACAGCAGCGCCATGCACCCCATGCCAGGGTCCATAGCCAGGGTGCAGGGGGGTGCTCACTGCTGACTCCATGCCAGTGCTACCGGTTGGCACTAGAGCCGGTGCCAGGCCCTGGGTCTCCTGCATCCCACTTCCAACAATCCCGGTGGTCACCCCGCTTGCCCCATGGCCACAAGTGAACCCCAGCATAGCCCATGTACCCTTGGACCTGGCACCCAACGCAACTGGGGATGCCTGGGGTGGGGTCCTGGTGTCCCTAAGGGTCTCAGCAGCGTCTGCAGGAGGACTTGGGGTCCTGAATAGACCCTTCCCAACCCATCAACAGCCCATGGGCCTAAACATGGGAAGGCAGAGGAATGATGAGGGGAAACGAGTGAAGATTTGAACAAATAAAGACATTTGAAGCAAAAAGAAGCAAAAAAAGAAGGGGTGGGGGGGTGAAAGGGGGAAAGAGAGAAAAAAACCCTCTAGGGGAGATACAAGAAACCGATAAGTGAACAAAGAGCCGGTATTGAAATAGATCTGAGGCCGCGCTGGATCCCTTTGCAGAGCGGTTTGGGGCTTTTCAAAGGCAGCAGCCACATCTGCACCCGCAGAGCGAGGTGGGGAGAGGGGGGGGGTGCGAGGTGGGTGCCGGCAAGGAGGGTGCTGAGCATCGCCCCCCACAGCCTGGGCTGCCCTCCCCACCATCACCGCGGTGCTGGCACATGGCACGGCTCGACGCCTCCAGCACAGCGCTCGCCCCGTCCAGCTCAGCACCATGAGCCCCCATCCGGCCCTGGGGGTACGGGTGCTGCTGCTGCCCCCTCAAACTCCCTGCCTCGGCCCTCAGTGCTGGGGCAGCAGCACCGGGGTGAGGCTCAGCCGTGCAGGGGCACACGAGTGGGCACCGTGGGGGACACTCGAGGGGGCGACCGGACGGGGACACCGGAGACCCTCGGCCGGTGCTGAGCGGGACGGGGCTGTTCCCCTGCCCGCCGCGTGGGGGCGCGCTCATAGGGTGCGAGTGCAGCCCCCCGCCGCGGCTCCCTTCTCGAGGGCGGCGGTGCCACCTGGTGGCCGCTCCGGGTACTGCATCGGTGACCGCGGACCGGAGCGGGGGGCGCTCCGGGGATCCCGGGGGGGGGGCACAACCACGCATACACAACACAAACCCCCCCTTCCTTTCCCCTTGGGGATGGGAAACATCAGCGCCGCCACCCTTCGCCCTCACAGCGCCCATCTGTGGTGCCCCTCGGGGCTCTGAGGGGGTGAAGGCAGAGTGATGCCCCCCCCCCCAGCCCCCCAATTGCCCCCCCCTCCCCAAACCCCCTGCCCACAACCATCAGCCTGCTTCCGTTTTTAAAAATTTTATTTATAACAATATCTGTTTTAGTTGTAAAGTAATCCAGCAAAAATTATTATTAAAACATTTCCCCCCAACAAAAGGATGGGGTTGCCCCCCCCGCCCCCCCCCCCCCGCTCCTCCGTCCCCCCCACCCCCCCCCACATGCGTCTTGTTTATTTCTACTATAAAAGCCAGGTCGTTTCCATGGATTTGTCGCGTTTTTGTTTTCCTGTTAAAAAATGTGCATGTTGGAGATGGGGCGAGAGCAGAGCGAGGGGCCGGGGACCCTCAGCCCTGCACCGGAGCGGGGGCTCCATCCCTGCCCCCTGTAACAGCTGGGCAGAGCCGGGTGGTGGGGGGGGTGATGGAGGAAAAGGTGGGGAGAGGGGATAAGGGGGCCAGGTTGCAGAGGCCAAGCTGCAGGAGAAGGGGGACCCAGGAAGCAGCAGATTTGGGGGGGGGGGGGAGGAAGGAAACGGGGCCCCTGGATAGAGGAGCTGCAGGGTCTGGGGGAGACAGAGGTTGAGAGGAGGGGAGCGCATGGCCCCTGCTCTGTGCCCCACATCACCATCACCCCTTGCATCCCATCAACCCCAAGCCCAGAGCTTCGGCCTGGCCCCCCCCCTGCCCCGAGCGCGGCACCACCCATGGGTGCGAGGGAGAGGGGAGGGGAAAGGTGGGGCGGGGGGGGGGGGGTCCAAATGTAAAGAGATTGAAAAGAAACCAAAGCTGGATCTGGCAATGAGGCGCCGGGGGCCTGGTACCGGGGAATATACAGGTAATAATACTGCTCACATAGAAAAGTAATAATCCTTCATTTGTACATTTATACAGTGGCTCTCAGCCCCCCCCCCCCCCCCCCCCGGCCCCCCCCGCCTCCTGCAATGGGTGTCTGTGCCCCCCATCCTGCCCCTATGCCAGGGGGTCCGCCAGGTCGTCATCCGCGCCTCGTGACAGCAGCTCCCGCTTCTCATCCGTGCTGGCCAGCGAGTTACGGCTGTTGTGGGCGCCCATGTACAGCGTGGCATAGACGGGGTTGGTGAAGTTGGTGGGCTGCAGGGAACAGGGAGGGGGAAAGGATGGCGGGGGGGGGCAGAGGTAACGCCGTCCCCATCGCTGCCGCTCGCCCCAGCGCAGCATCGCTGCGCCGCGACGGCCCCGGGCCCCCCTCACCTTGTCCGGGTCCAGGGCGAAGTCTGCATCCAGCAGCTCCCCCACGTCGTCGTCGGGCTCCCCCTCGTACATTTTATAAGTGGGGTTCCCGATCTCCACGTTCATGGCACCGTTGGTCATGCGCTGGTGCTGGAAGCCCTTGGCGCTGGGGAGGGAGGGAGAGGGTCAGTGCCAGCAGCGCCGGGCCCCCATTCCCCAGCGGTCCCCGCTTGTTTATCCCTCTTCAGTGAGGATCTCAAGCCCTACAAGGAGGGTTTCTGCGCCGGGCTCACCCTTTAATCCTCCACTTGTACCAGACAAAAGCCACCACGGTGAGGAGGATGAGCAGCAGCAGGATGGGAATGATGATGGAGGCTGTTCCTGCAGGAAGAGAGGCACGGGTACAGTCACATCAGCAGCAAAGACACCCCCTGACACACACACACACACACACCCGGGTTTGGCACCAGGCCCCATGGGCTGCCCCACACATACGGCTGCTCTGCTGCTCGCTGACGATGAAGTCCTCGCAGCGTGTTCCCGTCATCCCCACCGGGCACCTGAGAGCATGGGGAGAGCATCGGGGTTAGCAAGGGCTGGGGGACAGCATGCAGAGGTGGGGCACAGACCTGGGGGCCGGGGGGGGGCACACAGATGGGGGTCTGTCAGTCACATCTCCCTCTGCTCTCCCGTACCCCCCCATCCCCTGTGGGGCTTACAGGCACTGGGGCAGCTGTGTCTTGTCGCT